AGATAATATAAGATTTGTATGTACGCCAGAACAAATGTTCATATGTTATGTTACGACCAACTCTTGTATGAATATACAGTGTCACACTCTTACAACAATAATAATCAAAGAATACCTAACCTAGGAAAGACGTTATGACATCATCCATATTGATTATGAACAATACTTCCCTAGCCTCCCTAAGAGCTTCCTTCAATGTGACATCCATATTTTGATGGCTAGAAAAGATCGATTTGTTTATGTTTATTTAAAAATCAGAGAATTCTTTTTGAAGAATAAGGTTGTGGAATTTATTCCCAAAATATGATAAATGTATTATCAAAGCATTTCCGAAGAAATGTATTTTATTTATATTAAAACATTGGGATGTTATAGTCAATACAGAAACGTAAGGATAACGAAATATTACAAGCCTTCTAGTAATTAAACTAGTGGCTTAATACTCCTTGAATCTCTTAGCAGAATGTATCTTTCGTATAGCTACATGTGATACAATAAATTGAGTCAGACAGGTTGGGAAACCTGGTGAGTACATAGGGATTTCAATCCCACAATATGATAATGTTGTATATTTTAAACCAGCAAATGCAACAATTATCATTGACACAGATATATCATATCTCTAAAACAGTTTATCCCATCCCTTCAATTCCCACGTATAGATCCTATACAACGATCTTACAAGATCTAGCCTAAAGGATCAATATGAACAACAAACTGACGATGTTGCTTTGGAAATTCTCTGGAAGCAAACGAGGATCAATAAATGCATCAAATGAGGGGAATGGAATAAGTTTCACCACGAACCTCCGTTCGTAAATACAACAAGATAATTAAGTCAGGGGTGGTTATCTAGATAAATGTGTCTAGCATTGATCTCACACAATGAGGTATTTTACCCCCAGACTCACCCTATCCGGCAATACAACATCAGATATACCTAGTGGTGGTCTATTACCGACACACTATATTAGGCAGTCTACGAAGTTCCCTCAATTACTTCGTGAAAGGAAACGCTGACAAACGAAGCTCGTCTGATCACTTCGTAAAAGAAACGATGACTACAAAGCTCTTCAAAATAAAAGTATGGGAAATAAAGTACTCCCATATGCTCCCATACCCCAACACACAATAGTGTAAAAAAAAAGACTTTGTACATGATAGTACTTATGGCACATTATAGTATCTTGGTATGAGTAGGACTCGTACCCAGTACATAATAATACCTCGACATAAGCAGCACCTAAGACATAGAGCTTTGAAAAAGAATTGGTACATAGAAAGTACTTTTGTACGTAGGGCCTACTTCACCGATCATCAGTCTCCTCGAAGAGAGTTTCTACTCTCCATTCTGATCACACACGTACCCTTAATAAGATACTATCCAATATCCAAACTTAATTGAACTAAGCATCTTTTTTAAGTCTTATTTCATCACTAAGCAAGCCTACAATGCTTATAATAAACTTTCAATACTAACTCTGTTTCGGCAACACTATCCTAATTTAGTGTAATATTTTGTACAGAGTATTAAGTATTAACATAAATTTATCTTCTCATTTATAATACTTATATTATTATTATCATGTAAATACATCTCAACACATAAAGAACCATGCATGGTTCGCATAACGTATATCATTAAATATGCATATAACACACATTTCCAAATAATAAGCATATAACTCACATATAAAATTTCAACATCTATTTAATACTTTTATTAATACTTGTATTAAAATCATGTTCATGAAAGGGACTATGCACTCACTTGTTAAAGTGACGACTCGAAATTCAAGCGGCGCTTCGCTTCTAGCAATTGTCTTTTCCTTTTACATAACCTAGCATTATTATCGCTAAGTCTTAGTCTAATATTTATTGTAACTAACTATTAGTCTAGATTCATCATTAATTCAAAGTCTACTTCAAGATCTATCATGTAAGGAACAACCAGGTAGGATCGTATCGGAGGTAGGGTCCGTTTGGTATACGAAGTATACTGTTTGGAAATCACACTTTAAACACCTCACTAAATCACAACCTGGACATCATCTCCGTAAGTAGATCAATCAGTATAACAACTTGGAATCATTGATAAATCTTTTTTATAGGTTCATAATAACAATAATGAACTTAAACATAAGTTATACTTAAAGTAGGGTAAGCATAACTCACTTACAAGGGGGTTTAGCGAGGAACCAAGCTCTACGCGGGCAGAACTTCTGAGCCGAAAACTCTTCTTCTCGGGGCCTTCTGGTGCTCTGGGACTCGCTACTAACACCTAGGAGGTGCTAGGGAAAAGTCTTCAGGGTTTGGGGGTGTTGGGAGAGAATGGGTTAGAATGGTGTGAGAAATAGAGTGACTTGCGCCTCTATTTATAGGCTGTGAAATCCTGCAACACGGAGTGTTTTAGTGCTGAACACGGAGTGTTGAAGTGCCAGGTGTCGTGATCGCGTGCGAAGCTGTGGGGTAGAAGGTGTGGCTGTGATGGTGCCACGTGTCACCTCCGAAACTTAATAGAAAAGTTAATTATCTTCTAAAATCCGTAACTTTCGCATACGAGCTCCATTTTTGACGTTCTTTATATCCACGCGTAGGTAGCGACATGATCTACAACTTTCGTTTAGACTCCATTGGCTAACTTTGACTTTATTTTTAAAATTATATTTTAACAGGCTTAGACAGTTAAAGTCCGTTAAAAATTCATAATTTTGTCATCCGACATCCGTTTTTGGCTGTCTTTATATCGTTGAGCTCTTATTAACGAGATCTACAATTCTCATTTAGGTTGTGTCGGCTAATAATCGATTGGTCTAAAATTCAATTTTCGGGCTCTGTACTGTTATGATAAATCTTAGAAAAATCATAACTTTCTCAAACGAAGTCAGATTTGGATGTTCTTTTTATGTACGTTCTCGGTTTAATATATACTACGACTTTCGTTTATATTGCTAAGTCTGAAAAGTAGCTTATCAAAAATTCACTTTTTACGATACGCGGCGTCGTGCCGGTTTAATCGTAAAACTTCGACGGGTCATAACATCTTCGTTATAAGTCGAATTTCAGCGTTCTTTATACATACGGAATCCTTGTGATATATATACTATACTTTGATTAAGACTATTTATTCTAAATAATATTCTATCAAAAAATCATTTGTAACGTTTATTGTCTCTAAATTGACTAGCCGAATCTATGGGCGTTACATTCAACCTCATCAGGAACCAGGTACAAGAGTTGACATTATTTGCCATGCCCAAACAAAATACTATATGCAAGGTCTGGTTGCTTCCGTCCACAACAACTGCTATGAACATTGGTGTAGGTAGTTCCCTCTTAGAGGGACACTACCTATAAAGATGATAGACAGCAAACAACCTAGGAATGCATGGAGCTGTAATTTTTCAGGAAAACAAAACAATTAGTTGTAAAAACATTATAGATTTTATATAAAAAATTAAAACTTGGAACAAACTTATTTTACTACACATCCAATAACCACAAAACAGAGTTGGAAATTATCCATAACATCAATTTTGATGTTTGTGTAATTATGAGGGTTCGTCCGCCCAAGGTTGTGCAAGTAAACATGCAAGTTGGTAAAACTTTCTTCGTGGTCGTTATCTGAAAAACTCATGTTCAAGCAGTTATAATAGAGAATTATGGATCCTGGTTGTACGTGAATAACTAAATGGAATACCACATGCCATATAGGGGATGAAAACCTAGTTTTTTATTGTCTGGAATGGTGTTCGGGATGTTAGTCTGGAATGTCAATTCTACATATACAAATTTGACTACCGTACTCCGAAATTGATTATGTCAAACCAAAATATACGGTCTTAGATTTCAGATTCTAAACTATACCTATCACCAACTACTCCAAAATGTATAATACTTCTTTGGAATGCTCTATTCCAAAAATAATGGTTATTTTTTTCAAATTAAAAAAAAAAACAAATTGATTACTATTAATAAATTACTTATTTTCCCTTAGGGCATCCACAATCCTTTGAACTCTATAGAGTTCAATAGATTGCCACATCATCCATTAAACATTTATCCAACACCACTCACAACTCATTAAACACTTATTCAATCATAATCACCACTTTATTCCTTCTATTGAATCATTCAATGATCGTTCAACTCCTCCATTTAACTCTACTCCATATCATCACCCAAACTTGGGCATCCACAATGTATAATACTTCTTTGGAATTCTCTATTCCAAAAATAATGGTTATTTTTTTCAAATTAAAAAAAAACAAATTGATTACTATTAATAAATTACTTATTTTACCTTTATAGAGTTCAATGGATTGCCACATCATCCATTACACATTTATCCAACACCACCTACAACCCATTAAACACCTATTCAATCATAATCACCACTTTATTACTTCTATTGAATCATTCAATGATCATTCAACTCTTCCATTTAACTCTACTCCATATTATCACCCACACTTGGGCTTCCACAATGTATAATACTTCTTTGGAATGCTCTATTCCAAAAATAATTGTTATTTTTTTCAAATTAAAAAAAAAAACCAAATTGATTACTATTAATAAATTACTTATTTTCCCTTAGGGCATCCACAATCTTTTGAACTCTATAGAGTTCAATGGATTGTCACATCATCCATTAAACATTTATTCAACACCACACACAACCCATTAAACACATATTCGATCATAATCACGACTTTATTCCTTCTATTGAATCATTCAATGATCGTTCAACTCTTTTATTTAACTCTACTCCATATTATCACCAACACTTCATTCAACTCTTATTCAATCCTAGTCAATCTCTTATTCAACTATTATACTTATGTGATGCTCTTATCTCTATCATGCCTTGTTTGTCGTTTTGCTACCGCTAGAACTGTTGTCTTCATTTTTAATAATTTATCCTACAAATTATTATTTTATATGTCTAGGAAAAGGGAAACAAGACTTTTTAGTTAAGTTTCTGATAAATACTTGTCTTGTTAACATCCGAGTCCTATTTGATTGTGGTTGTCATTTACAGCTCGATCCATCCATCCGCACATGGAGCTGGAAGATACCCTCGAGACCAGCCGCACGACGGCAATTCGGAAGCTTCAGATGCCGATTGGATATCGTTTTCGTCCTAGAGACGAAGAGATCATCATCCATTACCTGCGCCCCAAGGTATTGTCCTTCCCTTTGCCGGCCACGGCCATCCTCCACGCCCACCACCTCTTCCTCCACCATCCATCACGTCTCCCAGGTACGTACGTCGCTACCCCTTCCTTCCATTCTTTTATTTCTGTTAAAGATTGATTTTTTTTCATGTGTGTTTCCAGGTAACCCGAAGGAGAAAAGGTATTTCTTCTGCAAAACAAGTTCCCACCGTCCCTTTTCCAATCCAGCCGGCTTCTGGAAACCCATCATTAACAGCCACAAGTTCATTTTAGCTCCTGGTTGCAACCATCCTATCGGTTTCAAAAAATGCTTTGTTTTCTACCAAATTTCCAATCAACGCCGCTCCAGGACCCCATGGATCTTGCATCAGTTCCGGCTTCTATATCCCTTACCAAACAAGGTACGTACGTACATACGTATGTGTGTTTCATTGATTTGGTTAATTAAATATGTGTAATATTTCTGTTATTTGATGTTCCGAGTTTCTTATTGAAGATGGAAGAATGGACGGTATGCAGCGTCCACATGAGTAAAAAGCACACCAAATCTCAGCAGCGGATCCATAAAAAGGAAGAAGAAAGTATTGAACATGATTCCATGGAGGATGACTTTGGTCCTCCTCAACAAACATTGGATGATGGGGCAGAATTCGTTGAAACTAGTTTGTAATTCCTTGGTACTGTTAAGTTTGAGAAACTGAGTCTTTTGAGTTTTGATTATTAGGTAGGTAGTAGGTTACCACCATTTAATTAAGATGGATACATGGAGGAATCCACATTAAGTGGTTATATGAATTTTTGAAAACAGGAAGCCTTCTAATCTTTTCTTTTTGTTTTTCCTCGATAATTCAGTTTTTTTTAACCCTTTTACCTATTAAATACAATAAAAAGTAGTAGGTACATGTGTGTGGTTAACTGTGTATGGATCAGAAAAGGAAATCCTGATAAAAGTATAACAATTAAATATGTAAAAATCAAAGGAGTTAGGAAAGAGTGATTGTTAATATAGACATATTTATTCATTAGTTGAAAAAAGGGTTCTGAAGTGCAAAGTAACAAGCAAGTCCAAGAAAGGAAGTTGCATATTAAATTAATTTGAGAGTTAAAAGATACATAGCAGGGAGTGTGTCATTTTTTGTGAGATTTTCAAGGTTTTGATGTTTGTGTTCGAGTATTTTTATAAAAGACATGTCAAGAATATGATTCCTCTACTCTAGCTCCTTATTTATATAAATTCCTTTTATATTCTGTTGGTTGGATGAAATTGTTTTGCATGTATTTTTATATCGTTTCAATAAGATGCAACTAATTTTTCATGTGTAACAAATATTTTATATATCTTCACGTTCTTTTGCTTGGTATTGAATATTAAGATTTTTTTTTTAAACAATGAAATTTCAATCAATAATAATAATTTCAAAACTTTTTATGGTAAAATTGGCGTGTTTATATATATATATATATATATATATATATATATATCTATATATATATATATATATATATATATATATCAAAGACGTTTTAAATAAATAAATATATAATAAGTAAGATTAAAGAAAGGGGGACAGGTGAGTTTGACCAAGAAAAAGGGGTTTCGTAAAAATAGTGGTCAACCTGAGGTAGGACTGTCAGTCAGCACCCAATGGGGGAAAACAGAGGTATCACTGGTAGCCTATACCTATAGTTACGACTCAACTTTTTTCGAAAACATAGAAACTGTTTGAAAGATTTTGGTCCAAAAACAAAATATTTACAAAAATCACAAATCTAAGCTAATTTTCCTTATCATTTTATAAAGTATGATTAAAACTAATGAAAAAAAAATCCACAAACAACTATGTTTTCAAGAATAAATTATATGAATGTCCCTGTAGTTTGAGATTTCTGCGTGTTTAGTTTCTAACATTTTTTTAAGTCGGAAAGTCCATCAAACGTTATTGTGTTACGTCTTTGGTCCCTATTAAAAAACTATTTTGTCAATAATATATTTTTTGATTTTCTATAATTTATTTATTAGTTTTAAATTAAAAAAAAAAAAAAAGCAAAACCTTCGGCCCACTCATTTCTTTTTACCCCAGATTGATTCTCTCTCTCACTCTCAGACTCCCTCTTATCCTTCTTGTCGCCACCTCTAAGTGATTCGTCGATCTGCACCGAATTGTATTGGATCTTTACCGGAGGGGAGTTGACATTCCCTAGCCATTGACCACCATCGGACCACCGACTTCCATCGATCTTTTCAAATCTTCATTTTCATTTTTTTTCTTTATGGATTCAAGGGACATAAGTGATGGTGGTGGTGGGTTTTACTAGAGACATGTCAGTTTGACTAATTTGACGAGATTAGAGATTTAAGGCTCATAATTTTGCTATCTGGTTCATCTCTACAGTTTATATGAAATTTTGTTGGCTTCACTGTTAATTCCATTTTACAGGTTTACTGTTTTGGTTTTTGATTTTTATTTTTATGTTGGTTAAAGATTTTGGTTGAATGGAGAAGATGACTTCATCGGAGAAGACCACGGACAATGGCTAAACGGATGATTCATATTTTCATAGAGTGGTGGGACATTAAATGTGACACCTTATTTATTAAACATTTTCTTAATAAATTAATAAGAAATAAAACAAAAAATGAATAAAAAATAAATAAAAAGAGAAATATATGCTTTTTAGGTTCGACATGAACCAAACGCGTAACAAAATTATATTTTATGGACTATCTTAGTTACAAAAAAGGGTTTAGGTTATATTTGATCACTTAATTTTTAATTTTGTGTTCATTTGGTCACTTAACTCATTTTAAATTTTAAAATGTCACTTAACTTTTAAATTTTTGTTAAAATGACCACTATGACCGGCAATAAGAGATTATCCTATTTTTTTTGGATATCTAAGGTCATTGAACTTTCTTTTTTGGCTATCTAGGTCACTAAACTTTTTTTAAGCTATAATTAGTCACTAAACATTTGAAATTGTGCTTATTCGGTCATACATATATATATATATATATTCCAAAATTTCATTTTTTTAATTTGATTTGTTTTGTTTTTACATGTTTTTCATGATTCGTTTTATAATTTTATTTTTTTTACTTTCGTTTTTATATGTTTTTTCATAATTTGTTTGTATAACTTCATTTTTAGTACATTTTCATGTTTTTTCACAATCTATTTTTACAACTTAACTTTTTTACTTCGTTTTCATGTTTTTTTCAAAATCCATTTTACAACTTCATTTTTTATATGTTTTTCGATAAAATGTGTTTAGCATTTTTGTATATTTGCTTCGACAATTAGATGTAAATTAATTGAACTACAAAATTATTAGCCAAAGTGGAAATCCTAGATCTATGAATTTATCACACATCTAATAACGTTGCATAATTAACAACTTTTTCATCTGAGTTCTAACGTTTTACCTATTACACCAGTAACAATACCCTATACATGTTTATCACATAAAAAGAATTATAATTACATAACTTACAATATCCATAGTTCGTGTTATCAAGTTGGATACTAATTGACCGAAGAGAATCATATGTTGGATCTATAATGTCATTAATCAAACAACATATATAATTTAGTACCAAAGGAAAACCAACCATAAAAACAATGAAAAAATGATGTTTTTTGTTTGAGAAAAATATGTGGGTGTTATTACTATTGTAATAGGTAAAATTTCATATAAGAAAGTTGTTAATTATGCAACGTTATTGGATGCATGAGAAACAAATAATTCTAGGATTATCATTTGGGTTAATAATTATATAGTTCAGTATTAACACTTAATTGACAAAATAAATATACGAAGCTCTAAAAAAATTATGAAAAAATATAAAAAAGAAAAAGAATAAAAAGTTGTAAAAATGAATTTTGGAAAAAAAACATGAAAGTAAATTATAAATAGTTTATTATAGGTTGACACCCTATTTGATTTTTAAGGTTTTTTTATTGGTTGAATTTGCATTGTTTTTTGAAAAAATAAATTATAAATAGTTTATTATAGGTTGACTTTTACTAAAACTGTTTATAGGGTATCTAAGGGGCGTTGATGCATTAATCAATCAGCATTTGTCATTTGGCAGTGTCCATGGCCATTTCGTATTGGTTTTCGAAGAGCCATTTCGTGTAGTCATTGTAATGCCCAATTCTTAGTGGACATTTTAGAAGTGGTTATTTTACATTTTCTAATGGGGGTTGGCTAAATGGACACCCCATTTTACCATTTAGACACCCTATATAATTTTTAAGGTATTTTTATTGGTTAAAATTACATTGTTTTTTGAAAAAGATTATTAAAAATAGTTACCTATTGGTTGACTTTTGATAAAAATGTATATAGGGTGTCTAAAGGGTGTCTTAATAGCAGCACCCTTTCTAATGTCAGCCATTTTGTAGAGGCCTTTTGTCAGTGTCATTTCGAGTTTTTGACTATATTGCTGCTTTTTAAAAACTTATTTACCTTATTTACCTAATAGGTACATTTTTAAACATATTTACCATATAAGATTTTTTAGGGGTGGAATTGGTACGGTACCAAATATTTTTTTTTCCGAACCGTGTACCGTACCAATTATAATTGGTATGTAATTTTAGTTACCACTACCGTACCAAGTACAGTTGGTACCAACTTAATTGGTTACCAGTAAGTTCGGTTGGTACATGTTGGTAATGGTATATACCAACATGTATGAGTGTTTTACGAAGTAAGATTTATATGATATTATGCACTTAAAAGATACATGTGAGTTTTGTAAATAAGAGTTTTATGAATGGTTGGATTGGAAATTCGATACAAAAAAGATTTTATAATTTTGTAACATGAGTTTAAACTTAACAATAGAGTAAATAGGATATGTTAATATGAGTTTAAACTTTAAAAGTTACTAGACCGTAAATGCTAATATCAAAGCACTTGAACTCTTAACCGTCAAATACATTTAAAGTTAAAATATACAATATTTTATTTATATGAAAAATAAATTGATTGGTACGGTAATATCGTGACATTTAAAACTTTGTACCATTACCGTACCATTATTAATTAATTGGTACGGTACTACCAGCCAAACATGTTGGCTACCAAACATATTAGCTACCAATATAATTGGTTCGGTTGGTACACATGTTGGTTGGTTTTCCATGGTACATATTTGCTACTCCTAAGATTTTTAGCATTTTTCTATATGTGCCATGTTCCCTTCTTTTTTTTCACACGAAATGAACCAAAAAAAAGACCACATTCATATTCACATAAAATCTTCTCTTTAACTTATTGTTTAATTCTTTAATATAATCTTTTTGATTTTTTTTAGTTTTTGTTATTAATTTTTATTACTTTTTTTTGCAAATATCATTTTAACTAATAAAGCTTCTTACAATAACCAACAAACAACTTTTTAAATCTAAACCAACAAACACCATCTTAAACTTAAAAAAAATCATAAATACAATATTTTAAGTACAAAACCAATAATCGTTTGTTATAAAAGATAAACGAAAATAAGAAACATGTGAAATAACTTGATTCGGTAACTATTATCTGCAAAAAAAAGATATAAACAGTAATTATGACCAATACACTTCTTTAAACAATGACGGTGCCGATACACTACATGAGATAGTGAGGAAACGGATCAGGTACTCTTATTACTTTTTGAGTAAAATCGGTTTGGAAGGAAATTAACGTAAATGAACCAAATTGGTAAATTGAGTTGGACAAATTTTGTATGGTTTAGTTTAAACATATCAAGACACAAATTCATCTTGTGGCTTGCATTTTTGGGTCAATTAAAATATCAAGACCAACTTAGGAATTGGGAATTAAAAAAAGAGAT